TTCTCCGCCAGGCAGCTCTCCAGCCACTCTAATGTTTCCAGGTAGTCACTGGAGACTCAAAGTAGGAATGCTATATTGCATTTTCGTGTAGTGCCTTGAGCTAAATATCCTGCTGTGCACTGTGATTATAGTTCGAAGATGCTTGAAGCCTTTGTTTAAACTTCAGATCTCTAAACCTTAGCAGCTGTTTAACAGCCAACTTGTTTATGCCTGGCTTTAGTTTACCTGAAACAGTTCTTGACTGATGATTGGAGTTCATTTTCTAGCAAATTAGACAGAGTGGAGCAGTGAACAAATTCTAAGAGCACCTATTGCGAGAGAAGCTCTTTTTCTAGTTTACAAGATGGTTTAGTTCAGATGCTCAACTGTGTACATCCATGAGAAGGGAGGTGTGATGCACACTTGTTTGGAGTCTTGTCTTGCCTACAGTGAGGTAAACCACAAGCTGCTTTGGAGCATGCTAGAACTTCTCCAGCTTTATTGTGGAAGACAGAGTAGAATCTGGTTCCTGGTCTTTTGTTTGTCTTTGAAGTGGTTTGTGTCTTAATGATGGGGGGAGATTAGAAACTTCAGATACGTTTTATTCTAGGTGCAGGCAGTAAATCTCAGTAGTGAACGTAGAGCTTTTAGAAGGAAGGAGATGCAACATATTTAATTTGGAACCAATTACAGCCAGCTCACTTCAGCCTAGCTCTGATAATGACCAAGCTGATTTCTGAGGAGAAGCATTACTTTGGAGGTGGTGAAAGTGGGATCAAGGCCAACAGGAGTGCTCTGTCAGTGGTATTCAGTCTAGAAAATCACATTTTGTTGATGAGATATCTATCTTTATTGACTTCCTGTCTGACTCTTGGTACTTTCTGCTCCAAATTACTGTCATGCATGGGGAATCTGATTAGAGATGTGTATCAGTATTTTAATTGATATTGTTTATGATGTATTTGAAAAGTCTCTTTGCTTCTTTCCTGTGGAGTCTAGGAGTATTTTTCTCACTTTGTTCAGCTAAAAATCTCTGAATTTCTGGTGCAAAAGTTTCTCAGTGGTCATGTATGGCTCAGCACTATTGAAGGGTCTGCACAAGTTAGTAACAGCAGACTTCCTTAGGCTTAAATTTGGCATTTCAGTGCAGCACCTCTATGACAAAACTTGCAGAAAATATGGGAAACGTAACTTTATTTTATTTTTTAATTTCAGGGCTTTTTAATCTAAGTATTATAATGTTAAAATCATGGCTTCCTGTCAAAGTTACATTTTTTCTGAATGCAGATTTCTGTATTATGCCGTATGCTCAAACATTCATGTGCAATGGAGAATGAAAAGTCACCTGACAGTTAAATGGCATGGGAGCAGCCCTGGAAGCAGTCCTTGCAAAGGCCTTGTAATGTCACTGATGCCTCCTGCGCCCCGTGCTTCACCTTATGCTGGATTCTTTGGCCCAGTGCATGTAGCCTGCAAGATTGCAGATGGAGCTGTTTCTGAAGCAGACATGCTGTGCAAGTTTGAGATTTTATTGGTAGAGGTGGGGTTGTAATGACCTGGTGGGAGAGAGGAAAAACTTAATGCAAGATGAGGTTCCTCACTTGTATACACATGTTTTGTAGCCTCGTTTCTTCCCACACACATGCACAGAATCGTAGAATGGTTTGAGTTGGAAGGGACCTCAAAGATCATCTAGTTTCAACCCCCCATTGTACTTAGTGTCCCCTGGTTGTTTTACCTTGGAAGCTGTCCCATAGTGCCTCAAGGAGGGCTTGGGGGCTGCTTGGAAAACATGCATACCCAGTACTGCTAGTAGTGTGGGAGTAAGGCACGGCAGGATGCACCATTGCTGAGGAGATGTGAAGAAGCACTAGCTGTTCTGGTAGGTAGCCCGTGTCATTTATCATCCAGAAAAATAAATATTTGAAATTGGGAAGGCAGTGCGACCTTTGGCAGTATGAATTACTGTGTGACTAAATTTGTCTCATTTAATCTCCTGTGGCTTTGGTCAGGTTAGTGGAGGCAGATAACACTATTTTTGTAGTCGTAGCTTACTGTGCAGCTGTGGGACAATGCCCTGGAGTTCACCGCTTGCAAGGGCGATAGTGCACAGGGACTGCTGGTGGCTGGTCTCATTGTCTTACCGTTGCTGTGCAGGGCTACTCCCCAGCATTTCTGCTTGGAATTGCAGGTTACAACACTGCTTGCATAAGGTGGACCTCAGGAAAAACATGTTTCTGTTCATCATAGTCAACGAGCACGTGGAAGTCAGACAGCTAATGACCACAGATACATCTGAATGCTTAGGCAGTAGGGTCACAGAGCCTTAAAGTCTACTGAGAGTGGCTTCATCTAAATACAGTTTTCCTTACCACTACTGTGGTGGCATGGTGGGGGGTGAAGGGGATCCTGTTCTTTCCTGAGAATTGTACTTTGAGAACCATGTTTGTGAGATTTTTTTTCTCTTCCCTTCCCTTCTAAACTCCACAATTTGAGTCTACAGCAGGACCTCAGCCAGAGCACAGAGCTCTTGAGTAGTACTTCTTGACATGCTTTATAGAAGCTGGACATCTCAGACTGGCCTAGCCTATGATACCTGGCTGGCATGCTGGGCTGAGGAAGTACAGGAGAAAACTGTTGAGGGTCATACTTGAAGATGACTCCATTGCAAAAGCTGGGATGTTCTAATCAAGCTGTTTTGCTGCTATGCATTTGACCGTGTGGCTTAAGGTTAATGACAAAAAAATGCCTCTGTATGTGACTTGGAAGGTTTTTTTTTTAACTTTCTGATCTGGCTCTTTTTCTTCTTATTTTAAAGGACTAGCTGTTGGTCTTGGGATTGGGGCATTGGCAGAAGTTGCAAAGAAGAGCCTTAGACCAGATGAACGCAATGGTAAGCCCTTTCTACACCCTCATTCTTTCATCATCCAGCCCTTTCTACATCCTCATAGTGTGAACCTCCATTCCAGAAGGAATACTGGAAGTGGCTGAAAACTGAACCAATTTGGAGGGGGGGAACTCTAAAAAAATCCAACCAACCTAAAAAGCTCCTAGCCAAAAAACCCCAAATCAAAACCCAACACCCCAGCAGATAAACACATGCCTTGTGTTGGGGGACAGGAGTAAGGCAGGGGTTGTGTGTCACCCAGGACACTACTTGTTAATACTTGCATCTTTGTATTGCCTGTACAACTAGGCAATGCAGAGCAGCCCAGCAGGGAAAAAGCATTCTTGGCAGAGTTGTCATTTCTCTCCATGACCTGAGGTTTTTGAGGCTGGGTGGGTTTCTTTGCTTTGATTTAAAAGCATGCATTCAGGCAAACATGGCCCATCCTGTAGAGAATCCTTGAAAGCTTTTGCTTTCAGGGCTTGTGATGTTTGACAGGTTGTTCATACCTGTTGGAAGCTGATGGTTTGCTTTGCTTTTGACAGAGGAGGAATTGCACAACTGTCGGTATTACTCTGCTTGCCAGATTATTTTCTAATTGAGCACACCTCAAAGTAAAAACAAGAGCTTGCAGAGCTATGAAATTTGAAGGAATAACATGAGCTTTGTTTTTCTTCCTTACAGCATGAGAAAGGTTTGTTTTCTTTAGAGGGCAACAGACACTTTTTCCTTGCAATAAAGTAATTACACCTTTAGACTTTTTACTTCTTGCTAGGGAGACTGTTATTTTCCCATGTAACTATAACTGGGTGCCAGAAGCCTGCTCTACAGTCTGAGTCATGCTTTGGGAAGAGTAATTTTCTTGAACAAACCTTGATTAAGGAATAAGGCAATAAGAACTGTAGACTTCGATGCTAGGCAAGAGAGTTGACCTGGCTTTTTTATTTTTAGCTGTCTGTCTTTCGTTCTTGCTTCCCTGCTTGCTGTCATGTCTGCTTAGGTAAGAGCTTGGAGCTTACACTGTAAAGAAGGGTAGTGGGACTGAGAATGGACCAAGAGCAGCAAGTATGGTGGTGAGGCAGAAGTGAAAGTCTATTTTAGTCCTCGTACTCTCTTGGAGCTTCTCAGGTCAAGGGTGCAGGAAAGTTACCATGTGACTCAGCTACAGGCTCTAGCTAGTGCTCTTGGATGTGTTTTCCACAGGATTTTACAGTGGTGGGTAAGGCTTCATGGATGAGGACTCCTCCATGGGCTTTGCTTCTGCAAAAATGCATGGCAGAGGATACGTACACAGCTTTGAGTCCAAGATCCCATTTTCTTACTGTTCTTCTGGTAGCGCCAGCCTTAGCTGTTCTTGGGGGAAATCTCTTGACATGGGCATCTCTACGTTTCTTTAAAAATACCTCTGCACCCGTTTCATGATTTCAGCTTGAGGCATTTGTGTCCAAGTTTTCTGGCTGCCAGCACCATAAGCTCGGGCTAAGACCTGTCTCTTGAGATGACATATTGTCCTGTTCTCTGGAAGCTGGGAGAGGATGTCTTTTCTCTCCTCACTGCTGCAATATTAATAGTAACTTCTTGGCACTTCAAACTTAAACAAATGGGATGTGTATATGCCCAAAGGCATGCCTAAGAATTTCACACTCCCACTGGCATCCAGGAGTGACGGGAAAGAGCCTTCTCTTGTCCAGTCAGTACAAATAAAAGTGTCTTCACACCTTTAAAATGAATCTAGAAACACTGGTCCTTCAGTCACAAAACTGCAAGCCAGAAACTCCTGAGCTACTCGTGAAACTCCTAGTAGCATGGCTTGTACTACTTCTTTCCATTACTGTAATCAAATGGAGGGACCACAAATGCCTACTCTCCTACATGTTCTAGCTACTGTGCTAGTGCTGAATCTGCCTTTTCCTGCTCAATTTTGCTAACCTTGTTTAGGATTTAGCCATAGGGCCCTTCTCTCTCTGTCTTGGATTGTCTCTTTGCATAAACAATTAACTTTTTAAGGGATTTATACTAGAACAAAAAAGTCTGGAGCAAGAGTTTGTGGATTTCTCCCTTCTCCATTGAAGCCTGATGTCCTGGACAGAAATTCTTTCTATTGCCAAATTCCTGCGAGTAGGTGCAGTTTGGTGTTTGTTTTTTGTTGTTGTGGTGTGTTTTTTTTTTTTTTAAAAAAAAGGCTTGAGGGCCTAATGCTGCCCTCTTTAAGTTCATCTTATTTTTTAAAAAAAGAGGATGACTGTACTTGATTTCCAGTGGGAATTTTCTTGGTAGGCTGATGTAGCTAATTAAAAATAACCTCCTTGGTCACTGGTGACCTTGATGGCAGTCTCAGTATTTAGAGTGTGTATCTGAAGTGCAAGGCTGACACGGGGTGGGAATGGGAGGGTAGAATAAATTTCCAGGAATAAAAATGAAAGAGTACCCAGATAAATAGTTACCATTACTAGTAAAGAGACTCTGGGTTCAAGGTCAACTTTGTAACTTATTAATGACCCATACCAGGCTGTTCTCCTAGGCACTGTGTGAATGCCAGGCTGGGCAGAGCCCCGAAGAGCTAGCCACTGGCCTAGGTCTAGATGTAGAGTTGTTTTTTTATGGAAAGGAATAATGCAGTCTCCTTGCGTTTTCAGTCCTAAGTGCTTAGGCTATGTTCTTGACTCTTCCCTTGCCCTAAAGTTGGTGTGGAAGATGGTCCTAAAAACAAGTACTTGCAAAGTCCAGTGGCTAGTTCTCCATTTGACAGTAGCAAAGGACGTGGAAAAGCAGTGATACAGCTGTGAGATTCACACAGATTTGGAAGGGATCACGCCAATTCTGGATCTGGAAAGGAAGATGGGGATCAAGCATTCCTGGGGCAGTCTGCCTGCTGCCTCTGCTGTGGAAGAGCTGACAGGCTCCAGGCACCATGGCTGCAGGAGCCTTCATTTCTGAGGTCTCCTTGTTGCCACAGCTTGTTTAGATGTGACTTCGATTTGCCTTTTCTTTCTTTTCTTGATGAAGCAGGTAAAAAAAAGAAAAACAACAACTTTGATCTTAAGATGGGGAGGAAATAATTTGTAACATTAAAAGGTACCTGCAGTCTTTGGGGAAAAATGTTAACTTACTGAAAATTTGCATATTTTTTCACAAACTTGTGCTGGGTTTTATCGCCACTTCCTTTCCACCTAGCCTTGGAAGCCTATGTCCATTTTCTCTCTTCCTCTTTGCTTGCCATTTACATAACTCTCCTTTTGACTATCACTTTCAAGTCTCCTTCTTTTTATGCACATTTCTAGCAAATTACATGAACAATCAACATATGATGTGCAGTTGGGCTCCCTGGTGATCAGGTAGTGGCCCTGTGGGTTTGGCTTCAAGGAGAGGCGCACCAGGAGAAGAGGATGAGGAGCACCTATATTTGGCTCTTTCGCTACTAAGACTCTTAAATTGTCAGGGTTCATTGGCTTCTGAAGGTGACTTTAATCATTAACTAACTCCTTTATGCTGCCGAGGACTCCAAGGAGGATGTTGGTGTGTGCAGGTGGTGTGAAGAAAGGTAGGACTTTGACTTGGCAGTTTCCCTAGCTCCTGTGTGTCTGTATGTCAGAGCTCATACAAGGGTTCATTTGCATCACCATTGCTAAGGACACAGAATTTTCCTGATGGGATGGTTGGCAGCCAGAGCTCTGTTAGATGGCTCCAAGCACTCCACTCTCCAGAACCAGCTTTTCAAGTGGGCGAAGCCTCATCCTTCTGCCGTAAGCAGGTCTACCTATTCAACCTCTCAGACTCCTTACATTCAGGATCCAGAGCAAAATGTGCTCTGAGGATTGATGTGTGAGATGCAAATGGTGACTTCTGGGCCCCTCCTTCTTCTCTGCATCCTGCTCTCAAGAGCAGGATAGCTGTCCTCTGTACTCCCTCCTGATGTTTTTATTCCTCTCTCCTTTTCATGTACGTTCTTTATTTGAGACAGGGATTTGGACAAATAGATGATGTCCACACACAGTGCCATCTTGCTGCTCTCCCACAAAACAGGTAAAGGAAAGGAGAGGCTGAAGGACAGGGAAAGGCAGTGCTTGGCTTCCTCTGTGCACAGCCAGTGGAGAGTTTGGTGGCATCACTTCTCTAGGGAAAGCTTTGTAAGCAAGCCAGCTTCTTGCTGGGGCTGAAGGGTGTCTGTCAGATCAGTAACATGCTAAGCACCTTGTGAAGGCTGTACCAAGTTGTGTGAGCCACCAGAGTTTGGACAGCAGCTACTTCAGTCTGACTCTTGATTCTTCTGTCCCCTGGCCAGTCTGAGCTCCCTCTGTATACCTTCCTGAGAGCTAGCTGGAGGTGGAGAGGATCTCTTGCTGCTGTAGTCACTACATGACACACTAGTAATTTCCATCTGCCCAAGATCTTCAAGGCTGTTGCAGCTGCTGAGCCTTTTTGGCCCTGCTTGTTGTATATGTGGGCTTCAGCTGTTCTGTCCTTTCTATCAATTCCTCTGAAGTGTTGAGGAGGGGAAAAAAAAACAAGATACAGCTCCAAGATCAGCGTACCAGCTGTGGGCCCTGCAGCCTGGTTGTAAGACCTGACCTGCTTGGCTCTCCATCAGCAGGAGCTGAGCTGCGGCCCAAGAGAAGTGGTTGGCAGGTGCCTGCTGCTCCTGCTATCTCTGCTCTGCTGGGCATTGCCTGGAGAAGGAGTTTTGGGTGGCTTCTCCTAAAGGGACCACAAAATTGAGTCAGTCTCCTTCCCGCTCCCTCTTTTTTTTTAAATAAAAAGTGGAGGGGAAGTTCTTCTTATGCCACATAAACCCCACATTGCATACTTGAGGCCATGGCACTGGTCTGTCGATGTCTGCCATGATTACTTAGTGAGCCTGTCAGACATCAGGCTTTGCCCCTTCTGGGGAACAGGAATGTGTGTGTTTGAGTATGCATATTTTGAGCCTTGTTCTGTGCAAGCTGACGCTTGCATGACTGCTGATGGGAGTAAGGACAGAAGGGTTTGGCCTCCTCGCTGCATAGCTTCTATGTGCAGTCAGAACAAGCGACTAACTGCATTGAGATGTTCTACTGCTAAAGGCAGCGTCCTTCTCTCAATAGCAAGGTGCCCATAAGAACGTGGCGAAGAATGCCATGCATGTGTGAGGATGCAAGAGGAAAAAGGTTGGCTATCTTGGAACAGGAATTAATTTCCCCTCCAGCACAACTGTCCAAGAGCAGCATAGTATCACAGATGAGAGCTCCTGCTGGGCTTCTCCTGTGAGGACTATCTCCAGCCTCCCTAGATTTGACTAGCTTGATTAACCTCATCACAGATTTGCAATCTGCTGCTTTTTCAGAGTGCTATATGCAGCCATGGTGTTTTGGGGTTATGGTGTTAGGAGAGTCTGTTTTGCCTGTGCGTCATGAGACAGTAAATTTCAGTTTGACTAGAAAAGAAAGTTATTGTAGACTTGGAGATATGAAAGCTGTGTCTGCTCTCTGCAGATTTCTAGTGCACGCTCTGGATCTGTAATTGCACTGCAGTATGTGTTCGTGTATGAACATATGTGTTTTGGGCAAAAATTATTTGTACGAGAAGAGAGGTTTGGTGCTGGTGTGAATCCCTGCTTCCACCTGAAGAAGTGCCAGCACTATGCCAGTGTGCTATCAAGGCTTTTGACAATTCTCCCTTGCTGTGGCTCAACCCTACTGCTCTTCTGAGGCTATGGCTATGCTGCAGCTTATGGTGTGGGACTTGGGAGATCTTTACGTAGTGTTTTAGGCTGAACTAGCTGGTACAGTGAGTTCAAGCACCAACATCTGCCCAGGATCCTGGATGGTTTGCATAGCATCACAGACATTCATGGAGGCTGTGACTTGCTGCTGTTGGCCCTCAAGCCAGTGATGTCAAAGCTGTCACAAGACATGTACAACTTCAGTCCCTGCCCCTGGGTTGCAGTGAAGACACTGAGTGTAGTCCTAGTTTGATTGCTCTGGGGAAGGGCAAATCTCCTGTTGAATGTGGGGTAACATAATGAAGTGAGCTTGCTGAGCTTGAATAAGCTTGATAAGGGTGTTCTTTATCAATGCAGTTTGTCTCCTTGCCCTCAGGAAAGAAAGCAGTGATGGATTCTAGCCCGTTCCTGTCAGAAGCCAATGCAGAAAGAATCGTAAGAACCTTGTGCAAGGTCCGGGGAGCAGCACTGAAGCTGGGACAGATGTTAAGCATTCAAGGTAAGTGGTAGCATAGGTCCTCGGGTGTTGTCCTTAGAACTGCCAGGTGCGGCAGTTGATTTCTTGTGATACATGGTCAGCTGTCTGGAAGCAGTGTCAAGTCAATCTGGAGAGACTCAACAAGTGGCTTTCTCATGTGAGAGCAGTGATGGAGATATGTTTGTTTCAGTTCAGTCTAATCCCAGTATGAAATAACTAGATGGGTGCACTATGTACCACCAGTTTCCTGATGTCCTTATTGTCAGGCACACAAGTGAAATTGTTGAAATTAAGGTGACACTCTGAAATCTAATGCCTGTGCTAAAAGCAATTGTTGAGAAGCAGAGCTATATCCCACTCGACATGCAGGTGTCCTGCCAGCAAGCAAGAGGATGATAAGAACATGATCCTGTTCTGTGTTCATCAAAAGTGGTCAAGGTTATATCCACAGCCCTCTCCTATTAATTACAGCAACCTGTTTGTGGTTTACATGCTTTGTTGGCACTGAAGCTTTGCTAGAAAGGCCAGTACAGCTGATAGTCTTATCAGGTATAAAACACTTGTTTTCATTGTGAGGAGACTTCAAACTGGTACTTACTCCATCAGGCTCTGAAGTCAGTGATCACAGGTGAAGGCATGAGTGACTTCAATGTCTGCACTGAACTGTGGGCTTACTCCTGGAGGACAGCAGGTGTGCTGAATTCAAACCTTATCTGGATCTGTCCACTTTGCCTTCCTGACCAACTTGATAGGGAAGAATCAGCTCAAAAATAGCTGTTACACTTGTCTGGAAATAGCTTTCAAGATGTCACTGAAACTGAGTCAGTGTCTGAGTGTTTGAAGTACTCAGCTTGCTTGGCTTGTGCTTCTACTTGAATTTTTGTTGGTGTTGACTGATGAGGCTGGATCTAGTATTGTATTAAATAACCTTGGGTAGCCAATAAAGCAAGACCAGCTCCCTGTTCCAGAGAGTCCTGACTGACATTTTGTCATTCTTCATTTGCTAATCACTTGTTTTAGGCGTGTGCCAGGCTGATGGCAACATTAACAAAGCTAGGTGGGATGCAGCAGCTGCTATGTCAAAGGCTGCCACCCATATGCCACCCATATGCTGTGTTCTCCCTAGAAAGAAGCTGCCAGGTGCCAGTGACTGATGGCTCACAGAGCAGATCCTGGAGGAGCTCTTGTGCTCCTTGTTTTCTGTGGCCAGTGCCTCTGGTGTGTGGGGTGAGTGAGCCATGTCTGGAAAACAACTCTGAAGTTCACTTGTCTATCATAGGTGGGGATTAATTTAAAATTCTTAAGACACTATTGAGTTGCACCTGATGTGTGCCCAGAGCCTGGTCACAGCTGCCCTAGGCTTGGATGTGAGTGAAGAGGGAATAGCTGTGAAAGGCCAGCTCTGAGCAGCAGAAATGCTCTGGATTTTTGTCACTCGCCTGCTGTCTCCTAATGTTACTGAACTCTGGCAGGAGTGTCAAACACTTGCCGATTGACTTCACTTGAGTGTCAAGAACATAGAGGCCTTTAGCAACCTCAGTGGCGCTGCCCAGCCCTCAGTTTGACTCTAGTGACGAGTACTGCAATGCCTGGCAAGTCCACAGGCTCCTGGTAACCTTGCTGAGGGACTGTGGTGAAGTAAGTTAGACGCTTCCAACAGTGCGGAGTATCGGGTTCTTGGGCTGGCTATTCCAACAGGAGGGTTTCACACAGTTACTGTCACTTCATGGGCTTCTCTGTGGTCTGGTGAGTTTGAATTGGCTTCTGTTAAGAGGGATGTGTGCTAATTGAGCACAGGAGCTCTATCTTGTCTTGTCCAGGTGCAGCTGAGCACCTGTGAGCTAAACCACCCAGAAGTTAAAGCAGTGTCCTTAAAAAAAACCTGATGTCTGCTTCTGGGAGTCAGTGGTTTTGTTAGCAACCCCCGTCCCTGAAGGTCATGCACAGAAAGGATGCCAAGGACCCAAAATCATCCTGTGTTCTGGTGCGTGTGCTTTGGAAGATGTTGGAAAGGCAGCTGCGTTTGCTAGTTGAGAGTGCCCTGCCTTAAGTCTTGCTTCGTGCTTCGTTCCACTAAGGCCTCATCAGTTTACCACAAAGACGTATAACCTTATTCATCAGCATGTTGTAAGCCTCGTTTTGTCAGTCGCCTCCGCAGCATGACTGATTTTTAACGTTGCTGCTGAGTTTCTGTACAGTCAGTCTGGACTTGCAGGTTTCTTGGCTATTTGACGTTGCGCTAATGAACAAAGTGGTGGTCAAGCAGCCCCACTTCAGAATGCCCTCTCAGACTAAAGCTTGAAATATCTTAACAAGTTTTTTGGATGTCAGCAATAAGCAAAATAACAGAAGCTGATCCTAAATGCCCGTGGCAGACTCTGATACCTTGACACAAATGGCTTCTTGAGAGCAGGAGCCACTTTTAGTGAGGTCCATTCTCTTTCTGCACAGTCATCCTAGGAGGTGCAGGTTATCATGTTACAGCATGGTGGCTCATAATTTCACGTAGGTCTGAGAACAATTTTTATGATGTTCAGAGGCTTGGCAATGATACACCATCGATTATAGAGCAGAAGTTTCCTTCAGTGTTTGGAATGCGCACGCAAATGCACTGCCGAGCCTTCTTGCAGGGTTATAACGTCACTCTTGCAGGGTTATAACGTCACAACAGGAGTTTTACTCACTGTTCCTGCAAAGCCTGTTAATCTCCGACTTGCAGTGAGAGAACGGGAGCTCCTCTTAAAAACTCTTCTTGATTCCCCAGTGGGGTTTCGTTAGTACTTTTAAATGCTACTTGTGGCTTTAGTGGGAATTTCTAAACAACGCTGAGTGTTAATGTTACATCTCTGCATTATGCATCTCTTTCTCACCATTCCTTTCCAGTCCTCTTCCCAGGACAGCACTCTTAAGGTTGCTGTGTGTTTCTTGTTTCCTGGGATAGACTTATGGTTGTATATGCATCTGTAAATGCAGAGGAATGATAGATTTTTATTTGAGCGTCACAAGTGCATGGTTGAGCTCTCAAGATTAAGGCTGGTAGCTTGGACTTTTTTCGAGTGTTGGGAGAGCAGCAGATAAATTTAATTCCTCCAGAAGCCTCTATGAAGTTTGCCAGAACTAGTGACTTTTCTCTGGGCTGCTGTAGAAGCTTTTGCTCAAAGGAGAGGACTAATCTTTCAAAATGCCTCTACTCCTCCTCTTTCTTAGGAGTGTAAATATTTGCTTGCTAAATCCTTCTGACTCTTAAAATAACTTACTTTTGGCTCAGATTTGTTTTCTTTTGCCCACTTGTAGTTGCTTTGTGTTTGGGTAGATGTTTACAGTAGATGCTCAGTCTTGATCCTGCTAAGAGTTCACTACTTGCGTACGTGGTGTTTTACCATTGCACAGCTTCCTAGAGAAGCTGCTGCCCCTTAGAATGAACTGGATTAAACCACACTATGGACCTGGGAGTGTTGGGATGACTCTCCAGAGGGTTCCTTCTGTGACCTGTGTTTCCATGACACAGCGACCTCTCCTAGACCTGAATGCTGTACTGCTCTCAGTAAGAAGATGGGCTGGTGAATGACAGAGGCTTGTGCAGAGCACAAGCAACCTGCCATCTCACCAAAAGCCTCCACACTGAGTGAAGCTGCCTGTTGCTCTCGGCAGTGCTGCTGGACAAAGCCAGAGAGCACTATGACAACTGATGTTTGATTCCAAAGTATAAACAGTTTCTCAGCATGCTTTCTAGCGTATTCATACTTTGTCTTTTCCTTGGTAATTGGGAGAGGATGCACAAAACTTTCTCCTGCTGCAGCAGGAGGCAGCTTAGGAGATGTTTGAGTAATAATGCAGACTTTTTTTGCAGGAGTGAAAAGGAAGGAGGAGCTTTTTCCCTGTATTTTGCTTCTTGTGCACAGGACTTCTGTTTGGCTCACTTCTAAAGGTGTGATGCCTCAGGTGCTACTTCTGGATGTGGAGAGTCTCTAAACTAGAATTCTTTCCAAAATTTTCACTGGGGTGTGCTTGGGGGCAAGACAACCTGGCTTGTCTGAATACAGGTGCATGTTTCTTTGTGTGCTGAAGAACTGGAGAATGCAGAGCCTGCATTGACTGCCGTGTGCTTTTTTTCCCTTGGCAGATGATGCCTTCATCAACCCCCATCTCCAGAGGATTTTTGAGCGTGTACGTCAGAGTGCTGACTTCATGCCGATAAAGCAGATGATGGTGAGGAATATTCCTTCCTGCTTATTAGGGGAGGAGGGACAGTAACAGAATAAATGTCACCTGTGACATACCCCAGTAAGGGAGATGGATGGGGATTTTTAAGAGCATTCTTTCAATAATGTTGCATATTTTTCAATTTTGGGTAACATCTGATTCCTTTTCTCAATTATGTGCTGCCTTTTCTCTCCAAAATATTGAAGCTCAGCTCCAGACAGAGGGAAAAATGTGGTTTTCTTATGTCCCAAGATTATGCTGATGGAACAGAGCATTGTACACAAATATGATTATAAAGTCTTGTTGAATTGTCTCTTCTGTTTCCTCTCTTGTCTTTCTCATGAGTGTTAAGCCAGTGTCTAGAAGAGCCTACAACCCCTTTTAGAAACAGACTTACAAGCCATAGTCTGGAAAATTAACAGCAACTTTGTCCTTACTTTTTTGGTTAAGTCTAACCCCCCACCAAGAAGAGCCAAAACGAAGGAAACTAAGTTTGCTTTCCCCAATGTAAATGTTCTCTCTTTCTCTATACTTCCCTCTGTAAATTAAAATGTGAAAGGTGATGCAAAAGGAATTGCCAGCACTACTTGTCTTCTGAAAGACACTGAACAGAGCCAGAACTTAAATGTGGCAGTCTGGCAATGTAGCAAAAAAGCTGTTAAAGCAGTCTGTGATGTTTAATTGTCAATATTGCCTTAAAGAGAGTCACTCTTGTGTGCCTGGGTTGCTTCTGTTCAGCGTGGCAGCATGATGAAAGAGGAGAAATATCTAACTCCTTGCTCACTTTCTGGAACATAACAAGTGGCACCAAAAAGGGGACTTCTGTATTGCTAAGGCAGCAGTGTTTGTACTCAAGATCTCTGTCCTTTAGGCCAGAGCAACACAGCCTCCCACAGGTCTGATTGGTATCTGTTTAGTGCTGGGGGAGCACTGCTGGCTGGACCACTCCCCACAATGGTGTGCAATCATGAGGAAGAGAAGACAACCTAGAAAGCAGAGTAGAGGTACTCAGCTGCTACAGGCTGTGTGAGTCACCTTAGAGAAATGTGATTTCCAATAGTGAAAATCTTAAATCTCTGCTTCCCATACCCTGATGCTTTATTTTTATTTGCAGAAAACGCTGAACAATGATCTTGGCCCCAACTGGAGGGATAAACTGGAGTCCTTTGAAGAACGCCCTTTTGCTGCTGCTTCAATTGGTCAGGTTCACCTGGCACGCTTGAAAAATGGGAAAGAAGTTGCCATGAAAATCCAGGTGGGCTTTACACACCAGCCTTGTCTCTTGTCTGTGCCCTGTAGAAGGGCAGGGGAGCCACCTAAGTATGTTTACTACTAGACAGATCAGAAATATTTTTAATGCAAGTGAAAACTTGGGTGCAGCAATATATTATCCAGTACAAGAAGAAGGGAGGAAGAGAAAAGGTTTTGCAGCTTCAGCCAGTCTCTGACTCCAGATGAGTGAAAGACATCTTATAGGTATATCACTGCAGCGTGGGGATGACGGCGGTGAGAGACTGCTTGTACTTTTAGGGCTGTGTGTGAGGATCCTACCTGCTCCCTAGGTCAGTCTCCTCTCTGGGATGTGCACATGCCCCTTTCTGGCCACAGCCCAAACATTAAAGTAGTTTTAAGTGAGAAGCAGGCACTGACTGTTGAGCAGTGGCAGTCTGATGATGCAGGAGGGTATTCACCAACTCATGCTAAGGCTGTCAGCAACTTCAGGCAGGTATTTAGAACAGAATTGAGTTCTGGAGCTGAAACCCCTTGTACAATATGGCTTATAATCCAAAGGAGCGAGATCCTTTGCTGACTGAGCAGGGTCCCAGGCAAAGTTGGTCATCTGGTTGGTGTTTTTGGTAAAGTAGGGCGACTTTAGAAAACAGTCTGGATGGGCACTGGTGTCTTCTCAAGCCATTTGTGTCCAGACTACTCTCTGAAGTTAGGCCAAGGTAATAGCAATGGAAAGTTAACCCTGTGGCATGTTAACCCCTGACCAACTGCTGCATCTGCTGTGAGGTTTTGTGCGTCTGAGAACCTTTCATGTGTTGGAAGAGTCCCTGTCAGAGGACCTGAACAGGCCATTCTGATTGCAAGGGGCTGCATCTTAGTCTGTCTCTGTCCCCTGTTTTAGATGCTGAGCTTTAAATAAGCTTTTAGAGGAGGGGTGCGGCTCAGGTATGCCCTGGTTCATGGCCAGGCTGTAGGTGGCTGTGTCAAGGGGGGTCAGTGGATGTTGAGCTGGAAGGAGTTCTTATCTTACTCTCTACAACTGGGTCACCTCTCCCATTCTGTCCTGCAGTACCCCGGAGTCGCCCAGAGCATCAACAGTGATGTTAACAACCTGATGACTGTCCTGAGCATGAGCAATATTCTCCCTGAAGGTAAAAAGATGAAGACCCTTGGCAGACTTTGTTTTCCCACTGGCACATTTTGAGTTCTGGCGACCCCTTTTAAGCAGTGCATTGCATACTTCTCTCCACAGACTGGAGGAAGGAAACAGCCTCAAAGAAACAGTGGAAAGGATTTTAAGAATCGCTAAGTCTGCCCAGGAGCAGATCATCTCCTGCAGAAAGCAGGAGAGAGCGTGGATGTGAGCAGTGGGTGCAGGGCCAACTTGAAGAGCCATGCTCTGCTCCCCTCTCCTGCTGCAGAGCTGCCACTGCCTTTGCTGGGCATGTGCCTGCTCCAGTGTTCAGTCAGTGGGGTGGGAAGTGCACCTGTGTTGGTTTTTCCTAGCCGTGTGTGTGCATGTGCATGCATCTGCCAGAGTAACATGCACTTGTCTCTGTGCTGTTTTTAGTGAAGGACCCACAGGGACTCTTTGCAAAGTATAAAATGTCTGCATATACTCACTTTTGATGGCTTTCTAGGCATGAAGTGTGGGCATTGTTCAGGTTAGGTAGTCTTGCTTTGTCCCTCTTACTTTCTGGCACGTTTGGCAGAACTCCTTCTCCATGTTTCCTGTAGCCTTCCATGTCTCCCATTCTCTGCTCTTCCTAGCCTTTCTCTGTTCTTCCCAGTCAGAGTTGTGGAGAGGTAGAGAACTGTCAGACTTGAAGCTTGCTTGGTGTCCCAGCACACAGATAAGTCCCTTTTCCCATAGGGAATGCAGGACTTGCTACTCCTTTTTCCAAATATTTGCCTACAGTCCCACTAAGATTTACAGCTACTGCACAAACACTGCTTTAAAATCAGGTTGGGTGCTGACAAAACCTGGGACCGTTCTCTGTGGTGGCTGGGCAGGGCCCTGCAGAGGCTGCTGCAGTCCCATCTGTGTCTGACCCAAGAAATAGATTGGTTTTCCAACTCCAAAACTGACAAGAGTGGACTTGGCAACTCAGGCCCTGGCTATGTGCTGCTGCAGTTCCCTTAGTCATGCTGACTGTTTCTGCCTGACAGTGCCTGCTCCCAGTTGTAGGCAGATACGGTTTGGAGCCTTTTTGGCCGCTTTTGCCCAGGCTAGTGTTTGGGTGCTTGGACTCCGTGGGGTGTGTGTCAGCACAGCCGTGCCAATACCAGCAACTGACAGCCTGGGCTACGGAGTGGGAGCCAGGGGAGGACGGAGCCCCGCTGCACAAGAACAGTGTGGATGTACCTTGCTTTAGGAGCAGCTGCATAGCCTTGGTCTGGGATTACCTGCAGAACCTGTATCTGGTTCGAAAAATGCTTTGGCTCTCTGGGGTCTCCTGTGCTCTTCAGCTCAGAGTTGGCTGGATAGCAGGTTGCTCCTCAGCTGCAGCTCTGGAAAGCTTAGCCCAAAGGGCTCCTCTTTTTTCTAAGCCTGCTCTCTTCTTTGCTGTTTGACTTTCAGGTTTGTTCCCTGAGCATTTGATTGAAGTCCTGAGCAGAGAGCTGGCCCTGGAGTGTGACTACCAGAGAGAAGCTGCCTGTGCAAGGAAATTCCAGTATGTTCCCACCATTGCCTTCAACCCCTCCCATCTGTATATGTGTGTGTGAAACGCAGGAGAGGCTGCTTAACTTTAGGGACAGCGGGGAGATGAATGCCGTGCCCTGGGATGTAGTGCAGGGGAAGGGTGTGTGTTGGTGGCCTGAGCTGTCCTGTAGAATTACCACCTTGTGTCAGCCAGGCGTGTTTTCAGTGAGCTGAAATGCGATAGCATATGCCCTCTCCTTCAGCGCGAGCCTGTCTGTTTTACCACGCGTGAAGGTCCTGCAGGAGCTCTCGAGGGTGGGCTGCAGTGCTGTTCCATGTGCTCTTTTGTCAGCTTCTCCTGTCCTTCAGTCTAGGAGGTTTTTCAGTTTATCTCTCACAGAAATTAGCACCACCAGCACTGCCTGCTCCTGTGGCTTGCCAAGGCAGTGGTGTTCAGATTGTTTTTACATAAAAGCTGGATGAGGGATTGCTGCTGGAGGCTGGATGCCCCTCTTGCCCCTCTGCAGAACTGCCCCTGTGGCATTGCTTCCCTTGGAAAAGGCCTATTCCATGTGTGTAGCCCTGAAGTGAAGTGAGGTGAGCGAAAGAGCCCAGTGCCCCTTGATGTACCAGCCTGGAGCCCTCCTAGTATCAGTGCTCTGGCAGGAGATGTGACCTCAGGAGCCGGCAGCAGCTGTATGTCAGTGGCATGGTGTCTGGTGACTTGATCCCTACTGTAACTGCTGAGGAAAATGTCTCCTGGCAGCCTCAGCCATGGCATGAAGGGGCTGTGTGAGATGTTGTGGAGGGGCCTGGATGCTCTCAGGGCTCCTAACCTTTTCCTCTCCTCTCTCTGTCCCCTAGGGAGCTGCTGAAAGACCACCCCTTCTTCTATGTTCCGAGAGTAGTGGATGAGCTGTGCAGCAAGCATGTCCTGACCACAGAGTTGGTGTCTGGCTTCCCCTTGGATCAAGCTGTAGGACTGAGCCAGGAGATCAGAAATGAGGTACTGTGGGGTGATCTTGCTTCTCCTCTTGCTCAGCGCAGCGTGCTCGGCCCGCCTGGTGATTGGTAGACCTGGGGATGCTTTGTGGAAGGACAAACCCTGAGCACTGCAAAAGAGGGCTGGAGATGAGGACTGCCTGGACTCCTCGGAAGATATATGTG